GATTTTATTGTGTTATTTGTATTTGATTGAATGATTTTTTTCTACATTGTTGTAATATTAATGTGATATGTTTAAATGGTTTACTTATTATTTGTTGAAGAAGCTGCTGAAGGTCACACAGGTCAAGCAAACCAGGTGATTGATTTTTTTTTTTTTTTCTGACTCAAAACTCCGTAATGTAATTCTTGTGGGTTCTAAATTTAAATATGTAATTGTAAAAATGCATTAAAGTATCTGTGTGAGCACCCTGTCAGATTAATAGCGCTGCTGTCACAACAAAACCTTATATCTCCAAAAATATCCCCCAAAAAACTTTATAGGACAAGGAAAATATCCTTAAGTTTTAATGGAAGTAAATGGAGAAATATTTTGTCCAAGTTATTTTGGACCATTTCTTTTGGTCTGTTCGTCATCAAATGTTGACACAACACAAAACGCCAACTGCCTTTTTCAAATGTCAAAAAAATAAAAAATAAAAATCGAGATTTTTTCCCAACAGCAATGATATGTTTATGCTGTTTGTGCATCCAGAATATATGCACAGAATATATATATATATATATATATATATATATATTTATATGTATATATATATATATATATATGTACACAGTTCATTCTAATTAGTGGCATTGATCCATTGATGGCTCTCTTCATTAATCCAGTTATTTCCAGCTACTGCCATGCTGTGAATTTTTTCACTGTTGAATTATAGTAGAGTTTGAAGCAGCCTCTAAAATTACTCATACTATTACTATATTTAAAATTTCTTCAGAATTACTGTTGCCTTCATGTATATCAGTCATTACAACTACAAATACTGAAGTCTGATTTATTCCACATTCTGAAATGTTATACCGCTTATTATGTATAACTGTGTGTTTATTTGGTCTGTCAGGCTGAAGACACTGACATCTTGAACTATGCAGCTCTAAGCTTTGCTCCGTCTTCCTCCTCAAGAAGAAGCAGAACAAAGAACAGCAGTGATCAGCCTGTGTACGCACAGGTAAAGACCCATCAGTAGAAACAACATCAGAGTCACAATCAAACCTGGAAATCTACTGTCATCATAACTACTCTGTGTTCATTTCACACAGACTCATGTAGAATGTCATAATTACTGAAAATCACTGTATCTCTGTATGTGTCAATTGCACATGTGAATAAAGCATTTGTTTCATTTTTCTTCACATTACTGAAAATATTTTAATTCTTATGTATTTCAGTGTATTATAATATAATTATCGATTGTTGTTCATACCTATATTATTAGTTATATAAAAAAGTGTTGACTTCACAAATACTTTTCTATTTCCTATAAACTATGAAAGACTTTTTGTATTTAACTACTAATAATTACCACTCCGCTGAAATGTATGTCCCTTTTCATTAACGTTCTAAGATGATGACAAAATCAAACTACATTATGGGTCCTTCCACAGCAGTTTGCCTAAGCTCGGTCCAGTCACTTTATGGATTTTCATTAAAAAAAAAGAACTTTTTAAGTTAAATAAATGTGCTTTGATGTGATGAATTTTTAAATTTTGCTCCTGACTGAACTGAGAAAATAAATATGCTTCACTTTAAACCAACTAGTTATTGTTAATACACTTTTTGGGGATATACATTTTTAGGCTATATTTATGTTCAACATTTAATCTTTGAAATCTCACAGTTAATATTTTTCTATATTCCACTTTAAAATATTTCTTAATACCTTGTTCTCAAACAATTATTAAACCATGAAGAAATCTTATCACACAGAAATGTAAGAATCCTACCTAAATACACTTCCTCCCAATAAACAGACCTGCTTCTAACATTTAGTAACATGAAATGAGTTCATTTACAATTTTTTTTTATACCCAGTTAATATTTCAGTTCAGTTCAGTTATTTTTTAAGCAGTTAAACTCAATATTTATGATATGATACTGCAAGATTGCAGTGCAGACAAGTTTGAGAATTGAAGCAAATACTAAAACTAGCACTAAAGCTATTCTGTGCAATACTGGGTGCTGAGAAAAACTCATTATCTTGTACACATGGTCTTATTGAAACAACAATAATGACTGCGTTCATTTGAATGCACTAATATTTATTCTTACACATAATCTTTTAACCATATATGGAAGCATTGTGCTGTCCTGTTTGGTCTAATTTATCAAGCTAACTGTGAATGTCTAAGTTAAGAAAAGCTAGCTCAGCTATCTCACTGATCTGTACATCATTTATCATTAGATAAACTTATAAATATATATTAAAATGAGTGTTAGCAACACAGTGATGTAGATAAAACTTAGCAAAGAGGTATGCCTGTTAATATGTCTGACACTGAGCTATGAGTCTGGTCTAATACAAAACTTTTTTTTCAACTAGAATAAGAATAACACCTCCCTTCAAACAATCAGGACAGCATGTGTCTGAATTACACGTTTGTCAATAACACCTTTTCACCATCTCTAAGACTAATACTGACAAATTTCCTGCTGCTGTTGTTCTCACTGCAGGTTTGTTCTGAGGGTTTCTATCTGAGTTTTCTCTTGATGACTCTAAGCGTTTAGAGATTATGGTGACTGGCTGTGAAGTGTGTCAATCATTATTATGCAAACAGTCAATTGGAGCGTAGCTTTGAAATTTTGCATGGTTGCATGGGATGAAAAATGCTTCTTTTTTGAGATGATAGTATTCCCTACAAAGGAAACTACTGATACAAAAGATTCCAGATATGATCAAACACAGTAGAACTCTTCACCTACACACGTTAAAGAATTGTTCCATAAATTTCATTTTAAAGTTTTAAATGTTTTGTTCACTTTAATAATTTAAATTGTCTGCCCGTTGATGGACTGGTGATCTGTCTAGCGTGTTTCCTGCCAGCACCCCCTTGACCCAGGAGGATAAGTAGCTTATGATGACATGAGATGGGGAAAAACATTTCGCTCAAGTATTTAGACACAAGCTTAAAGCTGGACAGATCCATTCTCACTGTCATACGATAGAGGCTGAAAGCGGTCAGGCAAATACAGCTCTGAGAAAAAGAAACAACAGCACTGTGTTCAGTGTCTTAGAACCCTTTTATGTATTTATCGATGCAACCAAGACTCAGCCTACTCTCTAGGGACAATTTGAAGTTTAACTCTTAGATAATTTTTTTACAGCTGTTTTGGTATTTTGGTTTATTACAATTACTATTACAATATATTTTCATGAGACAAGCACACATGCCATATGTTGTTATTTTCAGGAAGCTACTCGATGTATAATTATATGGCAAGTCAGCACAAAGGCCTTAACTGCACATTTAGCTCATATTGAGCTCACATTTAATACACTTTGTGCAAGTGTGTCAGAACACAGGTATATAGATAATCCAGCTCATATTGTTCATGACATGCAGGACTGAATTCACTCCTCAGAGCAAACAGGCAGGCTAAATACCAGTAAACTGCTAGCAGAAGCCCCCAGCAGTGTAGAAGACTTCCATGTTGGCCTATGGAATGATAGCCAGGCAAAGCAGGACCACAATAATGAAAGAGAGAGGACATTTAGAGCTGCCCTACCTCCACCAAGAAAACTGACAAACCAAAGCTGGTGGAGGTACAAACAAGGTTACGAACTGGGCCATAAACCCTGCAGATTTTGTGGACACAGAGTATTTATTACACACAAAACATTATCAGAGAGACATTTTCTTAAACAATATTGTAATTTAACTTTCTCAGGGTGTGACCTTGTGTAATGTCATGTGTTGTTTGTGTGTTCATATCATGTTGTATTAAGGTGTCATTCACTATTATTTTCTGAGTCATGTGTAAAATGAACAACATTTAGATGACTTTTGATGTTGTTTGATACACCAGTTATGTGATAAGGACATTAAATGAACTCTATGTCCAGTTCTCACAGGACAAGCCTGTGAGAGGGTGAGGCTGAATGTCACCCAAAACACTGCCCATATAAAAAAGAGATCAATCAACCAAGGGATCAAAGGACCAAGTGAGGACTGGATGTGACAGGGACTGGGGTGCTGTCCACTTCTTCCCTTATAACTCACAACACATCGTGTTCCTATTTGAGTTAAGAATTGGGGTTCTTTTGAACTCTGATCACCAACTTTGGAGATATATATCTGCATCTACTGATTTCCAATCAACTTTCGCCTGATCCCACATCAAACTCAGCCTTGGCTCTTCCAGAGATGAGAACCAGCAGACTTTCTGGATTCGAGTGCACTGATCCTCCCTGTGATACCCAGGAGGATCAACAAGGGACCGACACTTATGGCTCTGTGCAGGACACTGGAGTTCCTCCTCACTAAATTCTTTTAACCATGGCTTTACAGACCTCGCCTTGTGCACATGGGCACAGTCATGCTAAAACAGGACAGGATCTTTCCCAAACTGTTGCCACAAAGTTAGAAGCATATAATTGTCTAAAACATCTTTGTATGCTGTAGTTGTAGCATTAACTTTACCCTTCACCTAAGTGGCCTAGCCCAAACACTTAAAACACAGTCCCAGATTATTATCCATCCTCTTCCAAACTTAATCCACCACTATGCATTATCATAGGTAGTGTTCGCCTGGCACTTGCCAAACCCAGATTCTTTCATCAGACTGCCATAGTGAGACGTGATTCACCACTACAGAGAACATGTTACAACTGCTCTAGACATCAGTGTTAGCGTGCTTTACACCACTCCAGCCAACACTTAGCATTGCACATAGTGATCTTAGGCTTGTGTGCGACTGATACAACCTGGAAGCCCATTTCATGAGGTTCTCGACGCAGTTATTGTGCTTCCAGAGGCAGTATGGAATTCTGAAGTGAGTGATGCAGCAAAGGATAGGCAATTTTTACATTTTACAGGCTTCACCACTCAGCGGCCCTGTTACGTGAGTTTGTGTGGTTGACTGCTCTGTGGCTGTTGACAATAATAGCCCTTACAGTTGACCATGGCAGAAGTGCAAAAAATTTCATGAACTGACTTGTGGCAAAGATGGCATCCTATGACAGTACCACATTAAGTCATTGATCTCTTCAGTATGACCCATTCTACTGCCAGTGTTTGTATGGATGTGTTTGATTGTATACCTGTTGGCAATGGGTGTGGCTGAAATATCTTAAAAACACTCTCAACAATTAGGAGGGGTGTCCATACTTTTGGCCATATAGTGGACATATTGGCATTCATAATGATTATAAAATGTAATAGAAGTGTTTCATCTGAACTTTAGAATTGTTATTTCCTACAATCATTAACTTGTACCACACAAAATATGGTGAAATGTGGTGATTGTGGAATCTTCTAAACTCTCATTTTGCTCTTACTGTTTCCTTCTTCAGGGTGCATGTGCTGAAGAACATGATATAAGAACATAACAAGCATAACCAAATCTTTAGTCAATACTAGATGATTTGCATGAAGGTCAGAAAAGAAGCAGTAAGGAATACAGACATTATGAATATATTATATATATATATTGATGAACCTGTTTTCTGTGGTTTCTATTATATGAACTCCTTTCTCACTAACATTAAATATAACATCAAGTATTCTAAATTTCTAAAAAGGACGTGGCCTGAATTATAAGTGTAAATGCATCTGTCTTTCCAAGCCACATTTGACAACCAGAACTCCTCCCAACACTGTGACAACACCTCCCCCTGCTCTTCTGCGTATGGGAGAGGAACCACCCCCTAGACTGCTGCCCTTTAACACACACAGAGCTGCTCTTTAGTTCAGTTCCTGATATGAGTTTCTCCTATGACTTCAACTTTAACAGCCTGTTTTGCTGGTCCAACAAGCCAAGCTATTCAGCCTAAATAAAGCTTTATAAAACTCAAGTAAATAAAGAACCAGTTTGCTTTACTCCACCTCATCATTATGCATTATGCATCTCGCTAGGATATGCTATAACAGACGTGGCCTCTATGAGGCTAGTAAGTCTACACAGCTGTCTTCTAGTAAACAGGCAATTGGCTGCTCATATCATGAGCTGATTTGCATATTCTATGCCTTATAGCAATTAGATTTAAGCCTAACTAACTGGAGACACAGTTATCTACAAACTATAAATACATGTGGTAAAGTCTTACTGAATACAGGTTAAAACAAACATCCAGGTGTGAAGGGGGTCTTTAACACCTTAACATTCCAGGCTTATTACATACTAAGGCTCATTATTCACTGACCAATATACATATATTGACCAATAATCATTTAAACCTGCAATTCAATGATGGGATTTCTCAGAGCAACTGTGACCACAACATCTACGCAATTACATCCCTACAGCGCCCCCTGTTCAGCCAGTCTTCTACAAAATGGGGAATTCCACCCCTCACCATCACACTGCTTCTATTCTAGTGGTCTTTTATCACTTCATAACTTAATAAATATTCAATGTAAGTCTTTTTATTTTCATATCAAGCAGTGAAGGATGTCAATGAAAAGGTTTCAGTTAACATGAAGGTTCTTCACAATAAGTATTCAGGTTTAACCTCTACATGGCTTATTATTCAGCTATTAATCTTAAGGTTTCTTTAAACCTTAAAATGAACGGATGAAACTAATTTGTAAGTTGTGTATTTATGAGAGTGAAGAAGAAAAATTCAGCCCCACTTCTTGTTGGATTTTTAGGGTTGTTTTTGTTGCTGTTTAACCATCATCTTTTCATGTGGTTGGAAGGTTCAGTTGTCCACCCTCTACCGCAGTATGTGTGTGCCCCATCTCCACTGTGGGCACTGCTAAATATACACTCAGTAATGGCATATAGTTCACAGAAAGAAAGAATAATATATGTATACATTAAATTACAGCAATTATTTTTTTCATCATATAAATATAAAATGATATATAAAGAATGATCAGACTGTATAAAAGGCTGCACTTTAGTTTGAAATAAGGTACATGTGACGGGAAAAGACAAAGGCACGGATAGATTTTCTGAAGCTCTCTGAGAAAAGTTAACAAAGAAATATTATGTAAAATATATGTATTACAAAATATATAATACAAACATGTGAATAACTTTTGTATATAGTACAAAATGTCACACAAAATATTATATAAAATTGCAAAGTAATATTACAAAGTAATCTTATGTAAAAATGGCATCTGTGGTCCCATATATAATCCCTTGCCCAGTGTAGTTCTGGAGCCCTGTGACCATTCAGACCCCAACGCCTGTAATAATTGGTTTTGTAGGTATATACTGCACCTGCAGGTCCAGTGAACGATACTGTAATATATTCAATTCATCATTATCATGTAGGAGGTTTTACTACTACTTTTTGGAGTTTTGGAAATTGATTGTGTGTTATACTGCTCAGTCTAAGTTGATTATAGCAAAGAAATGCCTAGTGGGCCTCAGCTTTATTTAATATGTACCTTTATTAGCCTTTATCAATACAAAAAAAACAAATCTTCAGTGAAAATAAAATTACCACCATAATATGTTAATTGTGATAATTTTGTAGTCTTTTATTTTTTGCTAAGCTTTGTGGAAAAAAAAAAAAGTAACACATTTAACTTTAGTGGGCGGGGCCTGATTGCACCTCCTTTTAGGGAAACCAATCAGCTTTCAGAACAGAATTATAAAGCTGTTCGCATAGACGTGTTGCACACATATCAACTACATCTCAAAAGGAGACTTTTGCACTTCAAAAACTGTAAGTGAGCGAACTCAGAATTTCAGTGACATAAGATTGCAGCATGTATATATATACATATCTACATATATTATATTACCAGAAATCTTTGAACAATATAACTAAATATATAAATGTGTATTTCAGGAGAAACATTACTTGAAGAGTTCGGCAATGATTCGTTTTTATGCACTTGTTTTTGTCTCAACAGCATTAGGTACTGTTTAAGCTTTTTCTTTATTTTTCAGTAAGTTCAGTTTGCTTATTTTGTTTACTGCTATACACTGCAGCTCTTCATGAATTTTTAAAATAGCAATGCAGTTTCAATTTTGTTTTGTTTTATTATATATGTTCTTTTTTTTTGCCTGTTAGGTGGCACATGGAATATTGACATTCTGTGTCTTAAAGGACTGAAGTACTTTCATGAGGGGGAAAATATTTATCTGAATTGCTTTTTTACATCTGTTGATCTGGCAGCGACTGCATGGTTCAAACAGACTCCAGGAGAAAAGCCTCTTGTCATTGCTTCTGCTTTTCACACTGCACAAGTTGCATATCATGATGGTTTCGACAAGAGCGGCCGCTTTAAAGCTTTAAGAAATAAAAGCAGTTTTAATATGAGTATCTCAAAAGCAGAACCATCTGATTCAGCAACATATTACTGTGCAATGGCAGATTACACAAATATTGCATTATCAGCTTGCACAGTTTTAGTCCTCAAAGGTAGGTGTTAGTCTACTACAGTCTACACTCTGCTTTTATTAAATACCATCAATTTTGAAATTGTAAATCTGACTACATTTACATCTCACTCTGTTATCAGTAACATTTTCTCTCTCTGTAGGTTCACCTTCAAGTATCTCTGCTGTTCTCCAGCCTCCTGTATCAGATCCTGTTGAACTGGGAGGAGATACAATTTTGCAGTGTTCAATACTCACAGATACGTCTGCAGGAGAACACAGTGTGTACTGGTTCAGACATGGATCAGGAGAATCTCATCCAGGAATCATTTACACTCATGGAAACAGGAGTGATGAGTGTAAGAAAAGCTCTGAGACTGATTCTCCTACACAGAGCTGTGTCTACAAACTCCCCAAGAGAAACCTCAGCCTCTCTGATGCTGGAACTTACTACTGTGCTGTGCTCATGTGTGGAGAGATCATCTTTGGGAACGGAACTAAACTGGACTTTGCAGGTAAGAGCAGATATTTTAATCCTTTAGTCTGAAGCCAAATTCTCATTTTTGTAGATTATCACAATCACAATTTATTGTACCACACAGTAAAACTTGGGTTCACACAGTGTTGTTATGTGCACATCACTTCTGTTGTGTAACATTGTTGTGTAAAACTGGTTGTCCATGACAGCCATTACAGCTGTTCATTTTGGGTCATTTAGGTAAAATTTATACTTTATTACTATTCTTGTTCATTAATTTTCTCACAAAATTTGATAATAATTTTCTTGATTATTGCAGAGAAAGAAGTTTTGGACCCAACCATTGTTGTTTTAGCTGTATCAAACATCATCTCCATGGCTGTGGTTTTATTTCTATGCAGAAAATTACACAATAGTCACCATAAAGGTAGATATAGTCTCTGATTGTGATATTATTATTATTATTATTATTATTATTATTATTATTATTATTATTATCAGTTTCTAAATGATTTACTTGTTGTTTGTTGGAGATGCTGCTGACGGTCACGCAGTCCACATACAGCAGGTGATTAATTCACTTTCTTCTAACTTTTCAAAGCTACAGGAACTTTCTCATTTTGCTGCTGTTTCAAATTTGAATATGTAATTGTCTGAAAAACTCTGTGTGTATCTTATCAGCCTCTTAGATTTATGTCGTTTTTGGGTTGAAGGTGTTATATCGCTGTTAGAGATTGTAATGATTATGTATGTGATGTGTTGAAATTTTGTGCATCAGTCATTTGAAGTAAGGATATTGAAATTTGACGTGATTTGTCACACTTTATTTTGTTCATCATGTATAACTGCTACATGTGTGTTTGTGTGGTCTGTCAGGCTGAAAACACTGACATCTTGAACTATGCAGCTCTAAGCTTTGCTCAGTCTTCCTCCTCAAGAAGAAGCAGAACAAAGAACAGCAGTGATCAGCCTGTGTACGCACAGGTAAAGACCCATCAGTAGAAACAACATCAGAGACAATCAAACCTGAAAATCTACTGTCATCATAACTACTCTGTAAACTGTGCTCATTTCACACAGACTCATGTAGAATGTTATTATTACTGTAAATCACTGTGTCGATTTTCACTTGTTTGTAAAACAAGTTTCTTTCTTCTATGTTTATGTTACTGAAATTGTCATTTATATCATTTTATAATAATAAAATTCGATGACTTCAGATGACGGCGAGAGAACAATCTGATGAGGTTAGATTGCATCGGCTACCATTTGTTGCTCTTCAGGCTTGCTTTAGCATACTTTTCTATTGAATCTCTGTGAGGTCATACATTATCTATGAGCTATGATATACATATTGGTTCATAGTTACACATCATTTTTTTTTTTCAGGTTTTACATTTTTTAATACTTTTGCTCCGCATTTGCATTGACCTCTACACACAAAGTCATTTTCAACAAAAGTTTAAGAGCAAATGACTAATGAATAAATCAAAGTCCAGTATGAGTCATTTCATGCCATCTCACCTAAGAGAAAAATTAGGAAGGAAAAAACTTTAATTTAACAATTTGACAAAGTACAAATTCCAATAAACTAACTGTTTGTGGGTATTTATGAACATGAAACCATTTGACTTAGTGTTTATATTATTTTTATACTTTACTTACATTTTTATATTTTTTTAAATATTTTTAATATTGCATATTTTCACAGTTAATATTTCAGTTGTCATTCTGTAAACGGTTAAACTGAATATTTAAGATGTGATTTCAAATCTAAGAACAAGAATGTTTGAATGACTGCATTGATTAAATAGATGTTGGAACATTGCTGTGAGGATTTGCATTCATCTACAAGAGCATTAGTGTGGTCAGATACTGATGTTGGATGGCAATTATGCAAGCTGTGTGTGTGATTGAACTCCTGTGTCAGCTATAGGCGCAACTTAAGCAAGCTAAATTCACTAAAGAGGTGAAGTGTCTGAATACTTTTGAATATACAGTATTTATACAAACCCATTTCTGTCTGTCATGTAATACTGAATGAAAATGAAACGATAAACAAAACAAAGAAACACACACACACACACACACACACACACACACACACACACACACACGCACACACGACTGCTTCTTTCACCAATTTTAAGTGAGTGGTGTCTGTTTAAAGTGAAATTTCAAAAAAACAGAGAAAAGGTCATTAGCAAAATGTCTGCATAATATCAATATTATGATTTTGTTATTGTTTGAATTTAATTATGAAATTAAAAGACTGTATTAGTTTAGGCCATACTCTCAGGATTTTAGTTGCACAAATTATGTTTAAAAATGGCAAAATAATAAAATGTGCAACAATCTGTTTGAATTCAGAAAACAAAATGTATAAATGTGTTTTAATTGAACTTTGCACAAATAAACGGTACTCATAACATTCCACCATCACTAACCGTCATATGCAGAAGTTGCACAAACACCCCCAGTCAAACAACGTTTTGTCAAAAATAAGTAAACGCATCCTCTTCAGAGAACACATTAAAATAAGATAATTGTTTTGCAATGTGTAGTGTAAGATTTATATTTTCTGGTTTTATATGCTGAGCAAAACATGTGGAGACAAAAAACTTCAATATTAAACAAATATTTTTTACCTAATTTTTACTCAGTAAATAATAAATAAATTCAATGGTAAATTATAGTGTTTATTAAAATGTGCATAATGTGTTGACTGTAGAGGATGTGTACTTATTTTCACTCAGAAAATCAACATAGTAATAATAATTATCTAGAAAACAAATGTGACTCTTCTAAATTCAGTGCTGAGTAAATCAACTAAATGTGTACCACGTCCAAGCAGTATCTGTCCACATGAGCACAGCACAGTAGTAAGTTCAAGCATCAGAGAGGCTGAGGTCTCTCTTGGGGAGTTTGTAGACACAGCTCTGTGTAGGAGAATCAGTCTCAGAGCTTTTCTTACACTCATCACTCCTGTTTCCATGAGTGTAAATGATTCCTGGATGAGATTCTCCTGATCCATGTCTGAACCAGTACACACTGTGTTCTCCTAGTAAAATCAGTTGTGCTATAGTCACACTGTTCCTTTGTGGATAAGACTGGACACCCCTCATTCAGAGGACTGGTAGTATCGATGCTGTCAATATGAAGAAGGCCGTGTGTTGAAATGCGTCTATGCTGTCATGTGATTGTGATAAGATTTTAAGTTTTTTTTTTCTATATTAAAATGTTAATTTGATTTACATGGAATCTGTGGGTCTGATGGAGGATTTACATCTTCTTTCAGGAAGTATGGAAATTGCTTTTGTATTAACATTGAATTGCTCATTATAAGTTGATTATTGCAGGGATGTATGGTGGACCAAGGTTATATATATAATCATATTTGTGTGCTGCAATCATGTGCGCATAGATATGTTAAATATATTCTTCAGTAAAAATAGTATAATGACAATAATTATATTGTGGCATCAGAGCACGCTGGGGTCCTATTTAGTTAAAATGTCTTCATCGTGTCATGTCGGGTTATGTGTTCCTACATTTTTCGGGCTCTTATTTTGGAGGGTGGGGCTACTGCCTGTGTGTGCATGTGCAGGAAGAAAGAGCGAACAATGAGAGAGTGAGCTAACAGTGAGAGAGAATGCTCCTTTGCTTGTTCTAATAAAGCGGTGTTATGGGTTCAAATCCTTTGTGGTCTACACTTCTTCTGAGAAACCCCTACTTTACAGTGTCCTGCAAAGCTTTTACTTTCTTAATTCAGATTTTCATACATTAAGTCTGATTATTTGGTTTAGTTGATGACTGCTTTGGCCAAACCAAGTTTGCAACCCAGCAGTAGTGATTTGCATATTAAGCTCTAAATTTATGCCTGTTGATGTGAGTGGATGGTGCGCGGTTAAACTTCCTGTTATGGAAGCCAATCAGCTCTCGGCATAGTATTATAAAGCTGCTCTTGTAGAAGTTTTAAGTGCAGAGTGATGCATGTTGTATTAATTACGACTCAAAGTTTGACTTTGTCCTTCAAAAACTGTGAGTATATGAAATTGCATACTATTGCATTTACAAACTGCATTTACTATACACTGTATTACTGTTTATACAGCGTAACAAAATATGTACCCTGTTTTGAATGTTATTATTTTTTTTTTTTTCAGGAGAATTTCACAATGATTCGACTGTATGTCGTTGTTTTACTTTCAGCAGCATTAGGTACTGTACAAGTATATGTTTTTCAACATTAATGAAATATTTGTTTAAAGTATTCAGTGAATTATTATTTTATGTGTTAACCTTTTTTTTCTTTTTTAAAGGTGGCTCAGTAAATGGAGACATTGTCTCTCTAGAAATGCTGAAGTTCATTCATGTTGGGGATAAAATTAGCCTGACATGTTCATTTTCCTCCATTGATGCATCAGCGACTGCCTGGTTCAAAGAGACTACAGGAGAAAAGCCTCTTCTCATCGCTTCTGCTTTTCGTTCTACACCAGTAGCATTTCATAATAGCTTTAACGGGAACAGCCGCTATAGAGCATTTAGAGAACAAAGCAGTTTTATTCTGAATATCTTAAATGCAGAACCATCTGATTCAGCAACATACTACTGTGCAGTTGGAGATTATTCAAACCTTGGATTAGGAGCCTGCACAGTTTTAGTGCTTAAAGGTATGTCCTAATCTCTTACATCACTACACATATATAGTATATGTACTATAGGTTTCTTTATTATTTCCATCAATTTTAAAGCTGTCCAAAACTTTCTAGACTGCAAAATTATAAAAATGATACACTGAAACTTACTGATCCCTACTCAAAAATCACAGACAAACATTTTTACCTTTTTAGGCGGACTTTCTGTTCTCCAGCCTCCTGTATCAGATCCTGTTGAACTGGGAGGAGATACAACTTTGCAGTGTTCAATACTCACAGATGCGTCTGCAGGAGAACACAGTGTGTACTGGTTCAGACATGGATCAGGAGAATCTCATCCAGGAATCATTTACACTCATGGAAACAGGAGTGATGAGTGTAAGAAAAGCTCTGAGACTGATTCTCCTACACAGAGCTGTGTCTACAAACTCCCCAAGAGAAACCTCAGCCTCTCTGATGCTGGAACTTACTACTGTGCTGTGCTCATGTGTGGAGAGATCATCTTTGGGAATGGAACTAAACTGGACTTTGTAGGTAAGATCAGGTATTTTTAATTTCCTAAAGCATCAAGCCCTAAAAAAATTACTTATGTATTTCTTAGATTTTCTGCCACATTATATACATTTTTTTTACTAATGCAAATTATATAATTAAAATTTTATCCAGTGTTGCATGACAATTTTTTATTTTGTTTACTCTGTTATGTAACAGTGTTGGTTTATATCATACAGTAATTTATAGTAAGTTTTTTAGGACTGTAGATAAAGTCATTTTGAATGACTCCATTCAAAGTTTGGAATCACAAATTCAAATGTCACTGATCAGTGTGTTCAGTAAAATTAATGAAATGTTGCAGATAAATGTCAGAAATTATTCTTTTATTAGATTAGATTCAAGATTAGATTTGACTTTATTGTCATTGTGCAGAGTACAGGTACAGAGCCAATAAAATGCAGTTAGCATCTAACGAGAAGTGCAATATACAGTATTATTTACATATAAAGTGCAGAAGGACAGTATATAGTGGTAAAAAATATAGATTTGCAAATATAATATAATATACATATATACACAGTGAGTGGAGAGCGTACTATGAGGTAGTATGTCCTGTGAGAGCAGCATATGTAAAAGATAAGTATGCAGAGTAAACTTGTACAGTAATTGTTGGTGCAAATATGAACAGTGCAGGAATAATTGTAATTATAATAATTTATGATGCTACAACTAGACATCTTCATAGATTTCAACTAAGTAGTAGGACGCTGTCCTGAATATTGAGTCTCCTTGATGAACATCAAAAAATAGTATACATTTCTGTGTTATTATTATTATTATTATTATTATTTTAATAGCTATAATAGTTTTTATACTTTTCACATTCATTGAAGACCTTGAACAGATTATTAAAATCTGCTTATGTATTTGTTTGTTTGTTTGTTATTTTTAGAGAAAAATGTTTTGAACCCAACTATTGTTGTATTAGCAGCATCGAACATCATATGTCTGAGTGTGGTTCTATATCTGTGCAGAAAACATAAAGGTAGGTTTTACGTTGAGACTGATGATTGCTCGACTTTTGTTGTAAAGAAAGTACTTTTTGTGAGAATTTTGCAATCTGTGTAATAGTATAATATGTTTGTATGTTATTAGTTTTTTTTAAGATCCTGCTGAAGGTCACACAGTTCAAGCTCACCAGGTGAATGTTTCACTTTCTTCTAACTTTTCCAATGAACTCAAGCTATAATCTCACACTTTGCTCAGCTATATTTAGCACTATAGCATATTAAAGAGAGTCTCTTTCTGCAGGCCGCATGTGATGAAGCTTTCAACTTTGCAGCAGGAAGTTTCAACAATGAACCGCAGCAGATTAAAGAGGCGGATGTGCACTCTCTGGTCATTTATTACCAACAAAACTGAACTTTCTAAAGCTCACAAAACTCTCTCTTTTGTTGCGAATGCAGTGTTTCCTGATTGAGGCCTTATAGTTTTTCTAACTGTGCTGTTTTTCTATTTATAAAGATACTAGTTACTAGTTTTTGCTATACTCTTTAAAATGACCATTAATAAAATAAAAATAATTTTACACAAATTTTAAAATCCTTTTTGCGTGTGTTTGTGAAAGACAAGGATCAAATGATGCTGCTTTTGAGGAAACTGAAAGAACGTCTAAGCCCTGAGAAGACTTTGACACTGACCACCTGCAAGCTGATGTACGGCAACTACTTGTAAGTGTGGGGAGTCAGAGGCTGTAGGATGAGTGCTTTATCAAGGCTTTACTAGGAGGCATTACCAACACTGTCTGATGGATGAATAATACTATCAGACTTAACAATTACAAATGTAATGCACAAATACTCATCACAGCATCACAAGATAGAGGTGTAGATGATGATTAGCAACTAGAGACGAGTTTAGGATGACCAGTGTTGAGTAGACAAACAATACACAGTTTGGAAGTATGCATAATCAGATCACAGTTAGATTTTTGATTAAAGAACAATATTTTTAAGAATTGCATTTTTGATTTAGTGGATCTGTAATCAATAAATCAATCAACAAATCTCTACTGCCTGGATGAAAATCTTAGCTGTCACTATTCTTACCCCGAACTCACAAATAAACATTAAGATCAAATGTACCTTTTACTCTACAAGACATGCAGCTTGGCTTTTTAAAAGAAGCTGGACAACCCAGACAAATCTAGATTCTCCTTCATTTTCATAGTGGATACATTAGGAAGGAAACTGAAACATGTTGGCATGTCTTTTTTGCTTTTTGTTACTTTTTAGTTTAGTGTTTTTTTTGGTTTTTTTTTGTTTCCACATTCTCAGTACTTAACAATATTCAGTACTTTGTTGATTAGACCTTCAGTAGTGCAGCACAGTATGTTCGGGCTTTATGGTAATAAAATGAGGAACCAGTGAAGTAAATGTATATTATAATTATGTATAAACACAGTGTAAGATTAATGTAATAAGCTTTGATTACACTCGTTGAGTAATTTGAAGGATTATATTACTGATTACATTTTTTGTCATGTTATTTGTAATCAGTAGTGCATTTCTTTAGTGATCTGCACAACAACACTGCCATTGACAGCATGAAGTTAAAGCAGGAACGTTCCACAAAGAAGCAGAGGAACAATCTGAAACGCTGTAGACTCTCTTGTGTGAGCCTCCCTGATTACTCTCAACATCAAAATAAAACTATTGATCAGCTGATGATATGTGTGCATTTCATTTAATTTTTTTGCCTTCACGAGTTTCAATAGGACTCAAGGGGTGTTCTAAAACTAAATACATTCTTTATGAGAACGGCACTAAAATATACACAACTGAATTTAATTTCAAGGCAGTTTGCTTTGTAATCTGACTGGTTACAAACACATGATAAGCACATGTGCCTTAGCTGTGTGTTGTATATGTCTACACAAAGGTATGTATGCACATATGTGAACATTTGCTGATGGAAAAAAAACAAAACTGAAATTTATACCTTTGTGTCATCAAGAACAAAAAGAAACAAATAAATAGCAAAAACAAAAAATAATAACCATAATGAACACAGTTAGGGCGGCACGGTGGGTAGCGCTGTCGCCTCACAGCAAGAATGGCCTGGGTTCGATTCCCGGCCAGGCAACCAGTGTCATTTCTGTGTGGAGTTTGCCTGTTCTCCCTGTGTCTGCGTGGGTTTCCTCCCACAGTCCAAGGACATGCAGTCAGGCTGATTGGACATGCTGAATTGCCCCTGGGTGTGTGTGACTGTGTATGTCTGCCCTGCGATGGACTGGCATCCTGTCCAGGGTGTATCCTGCCTTCTGCCCAATGACAGCTGGGATGGGCTCCAGCACGCCACCGTGACCCAGAAGGATAAGCGGTTTAGATGATGTATGAATGTATGAACATGGTTAGTGCTGTGTTACTGGCTGTGCTTTCTCACATGGTTGCACTTTGTCTAAAGTTGGTACCAGGCCTCAAGTCTGTCTTATTGACTAATTAGTCTTCAATATTTAAATGATTAATATCACAATTTCTAATCTCTAACAATCTCTGTTATTGACTTAGTTATAGATTTTCCAATCACTGTGAATTCTTTTATAGGCAACATTGGCAGCAACCAGTATTTGAATGACATCAAGTCAGACAACACAGTGAAAATGAATGAAATATTTAGTGCTTTATTAACTGCTGTGTAACACACATGAAATCATCAGCAGTCAGTATATTTACTGTGAACGTAAGTTAAATTACTGTGTTTGTGAATGAGAGAGAGACAGAATGGAAGAGTAAGTCAGTACGTCTGCATGTGTGTTTGTGTGAGTGTATGGGGGGGGAGGAGTGTTGCTATCTTTGTTATAGTGAATTTCCAGTGAACAAAGGAAAATGGTGCTAAGTGTAAATGAAAAAGCGGTAATGCTGAAAGTGAAACTCAGGTCTAATAATGGAGCATTAAAAACTGCTGTGGAAACCACCACTCATTGACCTTAGACCCTAAAAGTTTAATCTTATTCTAGGCCAGGCAAGACAAGTTTATTTATATCGCACCTTTCATTCACTGCTGTCATTCAAAGTGCTTTACAAATGCTCTCTGTCAACTGGTTCTGTTAAGAGCAGCATAGTAGCTAAACGCTGCTTCTCCATGTTTAGTCTTGACTAGTTAGGCAGGACTAACCGACTAGTTTCTAATGATCTGAGAGTTCTGCTCGGCTCATATCGCTGCAACATATGAAATAAATATGCTGGTCCGCACCATTGAGTGATTTATAGAGCAGTAATAGTATCTTAAAGTCTGTTCTGTTACAGACTGGTAGCCAGTGTAAGGATTTTAGAATGGAGGTAATGTGTTCTCTTCTTTTTACTCCTAGTGAGACTCTGGCAGCTGCATTTCTGAATCAGCTGAAGCTGTTTGTCTTTTTTGGGCATCCAGTTAGGAGACCATTACAGTAGTCAATCCTGCTAGAGTCTATAGTAAATAGACAGGGAGTATGTTTGTAGACTTGTTTGCCAGGTTTATCAGGCACCAGTAGCTACCAAAAGGGTTGGAAGTAGAATATTTTTGTTGTTGTTTTTTGTTTTGTAATGGAAGCAGCCATGCATCACCCTTGTCAAGTAACCTTCCACTGCGTATCATTAATATTAATGAAACCACTACTATGTATTTCTTGTCTCTCTCATATTTACACCCAGTTTCAGTGTGCTGGATATGGTGGTGAGCAGAAATTTAAAACAGTAAATTTCTGAGTTTGTATATCACTCAGTGACATGCTTGGAGGTGGTGAATTACAGGAGAGGGGCACATGAAGGGCCTATCAGATTTGTACTGGGACCAGTGCCCCTGTGGTCCCACCCCTGGATATGCATCTGTGTTAGAGGGCTTGTGAAACCAAACAACACCCAAGGGGAGGATGAAGAGATACAAGATGTAGAGATTTGAGCAGGAAAGGCCAGAGCAGAGTCAACTTTTGCGGAGACTCAGGTCTTTCAATGTGTGGCCACACTACTGGAGTTGTTCTGTCAGTCTGTCATTGCCAACAGTCTTTTTTATGTGATGGTATGCTGAGGGAGCAGTTTCACTGCAGGGGAAGCCGAGTAACTCAATAAACTGATCTGAACAGCCAGCACTATTACAGGACTGACTCTGGACTCACTGGAGGCAGCGACAAAGAATAAGATGACAGCAAAATAAGAGAACAATGTGAACAATTCTGCCCGTACTCTTCATGGTGTGATATGCAGGAGCACCAGTGAAACACCAGCTCATTCCAGGAGCTTTAGGAGGCACTTTTGGGGATCTTTTGACTACCATCACTCCACATAACACAGCATGATACCTCATCACCACTGTCTAAAAACAAACACATTTTTTTTTTCATAAAAAAAGACATATACCACACACATACACTGATCAGGCATAACATTATGACCACCTCCTTATTTCTATGCTCATTGTCCATTTTATCAGCTCCACTTACTATATAGGTGCACTTTGTAGTTCTACAATTACAGACTGTAGTCCATCTGTTTCTCTGCATACTTTGTTAGCCCCCTTTTACCCTGTTCTTCAGTGGTCAGGACCCCCATGGACCCTCACAGAGCAGGTACTATTTGGGTGGTGGATCATTCTCAGCACTGCAGTAACACTGACGTGGTGGTGGTGTGTCATAGTGTTATGTCTGATCGGTGTATGTTTATTGATTTTACACATATGTTGATGTTCTTTCACAAGAAATACATCACAGTCTGCAAAGTACTTGATATTGTTTTTGCACTTTGTCGTATTTATACACTAAGGCCTTTCATGCACTAATGTCTTTGCACTGTGTGTATATATAAATATGTGTATGTTACCTTTCAGAGTAGAAACACTGTAAGTGGTATGGTAACTTCAACAGTATTTTTTCAGTACGTTTAGTTAGTGAACAGAGTTATATTCCATTGCTGTCTTAAAATCAGACTTTTTTGTTTTGTTTTTCTATTTTAAAAAATGTACAAATATGCCTTTTTCATCAGTGTTATAGCTTGTAGGACTAAAAATAATCTAAACAGTATGCTTTTTTTCCTACAGTGTCCATCCATTCGCCTGTCCATCCGTCCGTCCATCATTTTGTAACCATTACAATAATTAATGGATATATTTGAAGAAACTTGTGACAGAAACTTGTATTTCAAAACTTTTTTTTTCTTTGGTTAAGCCAAGTTTGTAACTCAGTAGTAGTGATTTGCTCATAATGTTCTATATATAACCTGTTGATGTGAGTGGTTGGGGCTCATTCCAACTTCCTGTTAAAGCAGCCAATCAGCTTTCAGAACAGAATTATAAAGCGGCTCTTGTAGAAGGTTTAAGTGCAGAGTGACAGAGTAGACTTTTAAGTACAGAGTGAAGTTTTAAGTACAGAGTGATGCACACATATTACCTACATCTCAAAAGATTCTGACGATCAAAAAGTGTAAGTAAGTGTAAACCACCTAGATTGAGCTTTGTACAGTAATGTGTGTGTGTGTGTGTGTGTGTGTATGTATATAACAAACTATAATAATATATAATGTTATATTGTCTTTCAGGAGATACGTTACTTGAAGAGATTTGCAATGAATCCATTTTATGTAACTGTTTTGCTCTCATCAGTATTAGGTATTTTAAGTATTTTCTTTAAGTAATTACTCTTTCAGTGTTGTTTTTTTTCTTTTCTTATCTTTTCAACATTGATGTTCATTATGTGTACTTTATGGTAAAAGCACATGGATTTCAGTAGTGTCTGATGTACAACTTTAAGTGAAATTAAAATAAGTTTTAAAAGAGCTTCACTTTTGTTCGTCTTCTTTCAGGTAGCTCCTCAAAGATTGATGTTCCATGTTTAGATGGGATGAAGTTTATTCAGAGCGGGCAAAGCATCACTCTGAACTGTCCTTTTGCGACTTTTGATGCAGTAACAACTGCATGGCTCAAACAGACTCCAGGAGAAAAGCTTCTTCTCATTGCTGCTGCCTTTCGTGCTACACCAGTCAAATATCATAATGGTTTCAACAAGAGCGGCCGCTTTAATGCATCAAGAGAAAAAAGCAGTTTTACTCTGAGTATCTCAAATGCAGAACCATCTGATTCAGCTACATATTACTGTTCAGTCGCAGATTTTTCAGACACTGCATTATTAGGCTGTACAGTTTTAGTCCTCAAAGGTAGGTGTTCGTCTACTACAGTCTGCTTTTATTAAATAACACCAATCTTGAAACTCAGTTTTTTTCTACATTGTAGACTGTATATCTCCATCTATATCTCACTCAATAATCAGTAACACTTTCCTCTCTTTAGGTTCATCTTCAAGTCTCTCTGCTGTTCTCCAGCCTCCTGTATCAGATCCTGTTGAACTGGGAGGAGATACAACTTTGCAGTGTTCAATACTCACAGATACGTCTGCAGGAGAACACAGTGTGTACTGGTTCAGACATGGATCAGGAGAATCTCATCCAGGAATCATTTACACTCATGGAAACAGGAGTGATGAGTGTAAGAAAAGCTCTGAGACTGATTCTCCTACACAGAGCTGTGTCTACAAACTCCCCAAGAGAAACCTCAGCCTCTCTGATGCTGGAACTTACTACTGTGCTGTGCTCACGTGTGGAGAGATCATCTTTGGGAACGGAACTAAGCTGGACTTTGTAGGTAAGAGCAAATTTTTAGAATGCCTTAAAACATCAAGCCCTAAAGGTGTACCATACCTTTACTAAAATACATTCTCTGTATGAAAGATGCTATTATGATACTACAGCTCTAAAATGTTACAGATGTCAACTGATAAGTAGGAGGCTTTCAAAAGTAGAACTTTTAGATGTGTTTAGAAGGATGGTTCCAAGAATGATAAACTGTAGATGATCCTGTTATGATTTTTTATAATGCTGAGAAAGAAGTTATAATAATTCTTTTTATTTGACGTGGTGATCAAATGTCACAGATTGGTAATAAGTAGGTAAAAATGTTAATAATATGGTAACAGGTTATACTAACCTATAAATTGTATGCTAATATTCTAGTTGTTATTAAAAAGTAAATTAATAATTGTAGAGGTAACTAGTTGGTAATAAAGTATACAATTTTTATTTTTTTTTTATTTTTAATTTATAGAGAAAGGACTTCCAGCTCTTATAGCATAATATCTGTGTAATCAATATACCATCCCAAATATTTTAAATCATTATACAGTTTTAGAGTTAGTAGACTTATTACGACAAACACATTGAAGTAGTTCTGCTAAAATTACATTGTATTAGTGCCGTCAAACACTAATTCATTTCTTTGTTACCTATAATGGTCAGGCTCAGGATGATGTTCAGACACAGCTACAGGCTACATGGTATTGGACCTGTAAAATGCAAAATTATTATTATTATTATTATTATTATTATTATTACTATTATTATTACATTTTATTACTTGTTTGTTATTGTTATATCCACTAGCATATTATAAACTAACAACCTAAAAATATCATATGCGTTTTCTGTAAAATATAACTTGTTGCCATAATATTACCATATTATTACCCACTTATTACCAATCTGTAAAATAAAGTGCTACCCAGATAACTTATGAGGAAATTACTATACATAGATAAATGCAGTGTTTCATTAATCATGTAATAACTTTTAATTTAATAACAAAAAAAAAAACTTGAAATATTGAAAAAAAAAAACATCCTGAAATGCTTTCTGGCATTTAGCTTATAATATTTCAGTCCACACAGTTTAAGGTAAAATTGAATGACATGACAGAAATATTTAACATAACAAGTGATTCTTAATGTTTGAATGCTAGGATATATTATTATGATTTTATTTTTCTTGAACAACAGCCATTTTTGTATGTAATACTATTTTATTTCCCATTCATTGATGATCTTGATTAAACTACTAAAATTATTACATTTCTAATTATTTATTTATTTTTGTAATAATAGAGAAAGGTGCTTTGGACCCAATCATTCTGGTTTTAGCAGCATCAAACATCATGTCCATTCTCGTGGTTATATATCTGTGCAGAAAATCACACAGATACCATAAAGGTAAGTTTTACCTTTGAAACTGATGATCACTTTTAATCATTGATGAATGTACTTTTGCAAGCTGTTCAATAATGTTTTATATTTGAATGATTTCTGTTATTTGGTTATTTGTTGAAGGTGCTGCTGAAGCTCACATAGTTAAAGTTTCCCAGGTGAAAATTTTACTTTCTATTAACTTTTCTGCTAAACTCTATAATCTTGCACTTTGTTCAGCTAGTTAGCAGGAAAACTTGTTAAATGCAGTTTATTAAAGAGAGTCTCTTTCTGCAGGCCACATGTGATGAAGCTTTCAACTTTGCAGCAGGAAGTTTCAACACTGAACCACAGCAGGTTAAAAAGACTGAAGTGTATTCCAGGGTCATATATTACCAACAAAACTGAATTTCTAAAGCTTACTGAAACGCAGTGTTTACTGATTGAGGCATATGGAACTTTCTAACAATGCCATGACTTTCAATTTAAATTGATCATTCGTTTTTTTATGTATTGTTAAAACAGATCATAAATAAAACAAGATACAGAAATACAGATTTTGCTGTGTGAGAGTGTGATCAAATGGCACTGCATTCTAGTACATTCCAGTGTCACAGAGAACCGCAAAAATCTGAGAAGACTTTAACACTGACCACATGCAAGCTGATTTACCTCTACTTCTACTTCTACTTTTAACGGTTTGCAACCAGGGCTTGTAGGCTACAAGTGCTAGCAGGCTATACTATACTATATAGTAGAAGCATTGTAAACACTGGTAGTCAGATTCATAGTACTGGCACACACAATCAAAGTAAATCTATAATCAAAATCCATGTAACATCACAAAGTTATTCTTAATAAATATAATAAAGAACAACTAATGAATTTCATGCCCAAATGAATGCAGAGTTTTAATAGGATGTGCTTGGTGGGGGGTGGATGGGTGGGAGGATGGAATCAAAGTGACAAACTAAACACATTCTATTCTGTGAGTGGCAATGAAATGTATACACAAATGAATTTAATCCTCTAACTGGCCAGGGCCCACCAGCAGGCCCAAAGTTTTATTACATATAACCTGAGAATAGATCAACCAGTTTGCACTGGTCCCTGTAGTTACTAAATAATAAGTCTTAATATATAATAAGCCTGGGATTTTTAGGGGTTAATTCTAAGTAATGTACACTTACAAGATATAAGCTGACATTTACTCTGCTATTCATGCCTTATTTACGTTGTAATCTGTCTGGTTACAAACACATGATAAGTATTTTGACACTGTCTAAAAAATGAACAAATGAACACAGCAGTTGTCATTTACACTGTTAATGATGAATGACCAATAGAAATAGTCTGAAATGGCACCAAAAGTTAAGTTGTTGTTGTTGTGTGTGTGTGTGGGGGGGGGGTGGCAGAAGTGAAAAGAAAGTAATATTAATCACAAGTTTAGCAGTTTTTATAATAAATGTGAATTCTTTATGTTGTAATTGCCAGCAAACAGTATTTGAATGACATCAAGGCACAGAACAGTGAAAATAAATGATAAATTATAAATGTATTTATACATTTATAAATTTATTTATAAATTGATACATTTATTTATAATTATTAATTATAAATTATACATTTATTTTTACACAAAAGTATCAACAGTCAGTATATATTTACTGTGTATATAAGCTAAATGACTGTTTGGCTAAAACTGTGTGTGTATGTGTGTGTGTGCGTGTGTGTGTGTGTGTGTGTGTGTGTGTGTGTGGAAGATTAAGAGAGTGTTTGCATGTGTCTATAAGAGAAGGGTGAGAATTGCTGTCTTTGTTATAGCGAGTACCCAGTAAGCAAAACAAAATTTAAATGAAACAGCACTGTGTGCTGAAAGTGATATTCAGGCCTAACAATAAAGCAATGTGTGTCAAATCAATCACATGCAAATATATAAAAAATTAATTTCCTGCTTGCAATTAGGTCTAGTGTGCATGGCGTTTCAGTTCAGTCCTTGCAATTCATTGCTGAAATGGGGGGGGGAATTCCACCGCTGTTCCTCAGTGAATGAAACTAAATAAGTCATCCAGGATCACTGGGAATCATCTTTCTGAGTTTCCAATCAACAATCAGTGAATGAGAATGTTTGATGTTTGAGAATGTGAAATGTTAATCAGACATCTAGAGCAGTGGTCCTCAAACCGGTCCTCAAGGACCCCCAGACAGGCCCCATTTTTCCCTATCCCTTTAATTTTGTCTCATCTCTCATACAGAGTAGTCAAATTAGGCCTCCCTTAAAAAGTCTGCCTACAGCAGCCAGATCGAGAGAGAAGTTTCACTGAGGAGTAGTTTTAGCATTTAATCACATAGTTACTGAGGGCTTCCTCCTTCCTGTCCTTGGATAATTTTCTTCGAGTCTTGGCTCCTCCCTCTGAGGACACAAACAGTTGGCAACGGTTCAGAGGCTGAGTCATTCAAAAGTAAACATGGGGAGGGGTTCATCACTCTTTGAATGACTATGCAAGCAAATAGTGCAACAATTCAAGAATAATGTTTCTCAATGTAAAATTGCAAATAACTTTTGCTTTCCATCATCTACAGTACATAATAACATTAAAAGATTCAGAGAATCTGGAGAAATCTCTATATGCAAGGGACAAGGCCAAAAACCAGTATTTGCTGGCCATGATCTTTGGGCCTTGCATTAAAAACAGAGGAAAGATTCTGTAGAGGAAATCATTGCATGGGCTCAGAAACATTTCTGAAAACCACTGTCTGTGAAAACAATTTGTCACTGCATCCACAAATGCAAGTCAAAACTCTAAAATGCAAAGAAGAAACCACATATAAACAGGACCCAGAAATGCTGCCACCTTCTCTGGGCCCGGGCTCATTTAAAATGGATGTTAAAAAGTGTGCTGTGGTCCGACAAATCAACATTTGAAATTCTTTTTTGGAAATTATGGACTCTGCATCCTCCGGGATAAAGACTACTCAGCTTGTTATCAGTGCACAGTTCAAAAGTCAGTATTCATGATGGTATAGGGGTGCATTAGTGCACATGGCATGGGTGACTGGCACATCTGTGAAGGGACCATTAATGCTGAATGGTATACACAGGTTTTGGCAACATATGCTGCCATCTAGATGACGTCTTCTTCAGGGAAGGCCTTGATTATTACAGCAAGACAATGTCACACCACATTCTGCATGTATTACAACAGCATTGCTCCATATTAAAAGAGTCTGAGTGCTAAACTGGCCTGCCCACAGTCCAGACCTGTCACCAGTGAAAACATTTGGCACATTATGAAATAAAAATTACAAAAAAGGAGACCCTGAACTGTCGAGCAGCTGAAATTCTATATCAATCAAGAATGGGAAAACATTTCATTTTCAAAACTACAACAGTCGATCTCCTTTGTTCCCAAACACTTTCAGAGTGTTATTAAAATAAGAGGTGATGAAACACTGTGGTAAACATGACCCTGTCCTAGAACGTATTGTTGGCATCAAATTCAAAATGGGCATATATTTTCCAAAAAACAATAAAATTTCTCAGTTTCAACATTTGATATGTTGTCTTTGTAGTATCTTCCTTTAAAAATATGACTTACATGATTTGCATATCATTGCATCCTATTTTTATTTACAATCTGCGCAGTGTCCCAACTTTTTTGGAAATGGGGTTGTAAACACACACACACACACACATATATATATATATATATATATATATATATATATATATATATATATAATATATATATATGTGTGTGTGTGTGTGTGTGTGTGTGTGTGTGTGTGTGTTTACAACCCCATTTCCAAAAAAGTTGGGACACTGCGCAGATTGTAAATATATGTGGTATATATATATATATATAGTTTGCAGTTTGATACCATTTCCATGGCTGCAAGAATTTAAAAAAGGGATAATGGGTTATTCCATGCCAAGTCACATAGAATATTACCAGGCTTTATGTGGCCTTTAACCCTAAAGTTTTGACATTATACTAGATAGATATAGATGGATTAAGAATTAGGGACTTGGGTTTACCAGAGACAGGTACATGAGGTACTGTGGGATTAACTGTTCATTCATTTTATGCGTTTACATACAAAGCCAGACAGATTAATACACTTTACATCTTAAACACCTGATTAAAAGGAACAGCCATGCGATGTGCAGATGTTAATGTGCATGGTAAATGTGTAATGTATCATGCCCTTGAATACTGATTGATCCTGTAACATTATGGATCATGTGACTGCAGATGTGTGGTGCTCTCAATGGCACAGTGATTATTGTTTTGCCTATGGATAGAGTCTGCAATCTTTAAATAATGAAGGAAAAGCATCACAAAGAAAGGGTTTTTGAATCAGATAAGTGCAGTCAGTAGTACAAACTTTTTTTTTGTTTTGAAATCTTGCACTGCATATCATTGTTATTAAATAAATTGCTATGTTCTTGCCTATTTCATATTTACACCCAGCTTCAGTGTGTTGGACAGGGTGGTGAGCAGCACTGGAGTACATCAGGGAATTTTCATGTCTTCATTTCTATCTGCCCTCTACACAGCAGACGTCCAGGACAAGACCATCTCATGCAACTTGCAGAAGTTTTGTGTTCACTCTCCCAATTCGAAGATGTATCAGTGAAGGAGATAAGTAAGAATTCAGAAGGCTGGTAGAGGACTTTGTCTTAGCATGGAAAATTGTCTTTTGCTTAAAAGTAACCAATACAAAAGAATTGGTAGTGGATTTGCAGTGTGTTAGAGCAGCGTCAGTTCTAGGATTTCTATAGGTGGGGCTACAATTGTCCATAATTCCTGTTCTGGGGCCAAATAAAGCCTTTACAAAGTGCTTTAGAATTATCTCCTACTATTTCTAAAAAAAAAAAAAATGTTAAGTTACTAACAAAAAAGTTATGTTACTAAGAACATAGCATCTACCACACAAAATGGATCTAGCTCATTACATATTTTACACTCAATAGCAGATCTGGTAAAATATCTCATCACAAGCCTAATCATTTCACTATTATGACATGCAAACTCATGAATACTAAAGTTCAGAAACAACCCCCCTGTAGGGGGATTAAGCAGCTTAATCCTGTAGGAGACAATTTTAGTCATTCAATACAAAAATGAAGCACTCTGAAAATAAAATACAGGAAAACAAGTCAATGCTGTAGAATGATTCAGTTCACAATTTTGTTTAACAATTTTGCAATTGGAAGTCTTTTTTTATTGCTTTTCAGGTATTTTACTTACTTGTTAAAATATATTGATTACCACACCAAGGTCAAAAGGTCAAAGTGTATAGGATTTGCCAGACAGCTCCTTTTGAACCCCCGTTTTCAGTATTTACTCCTAAATAACATCTTAAAAACTCTGCCCACCATATGTGTTCTAGGTGCTAGAATGTCCATACTGTGTTGATTAGGTGCTTGGACCCCGATGATCACTAATGGCAATGCAATTTGTAGATGGTTGCTTTGCTGTCATAGTGGTAATGGCAGTTTGCAGAAACTGCAGCCACTGTCCAAAAGCTATTTCAGAAAAAATCATACATGTGATAATGAAACTTTACAGAAGTGTTCCCCTCTTTTCATTTCCTAAACCTGTCAACTTCTAAATGTTTATAACAAAAAAATAAAATACTCTAACTGTACACATGACCACAATCTGCCAGAGCAGGCCTTCTTTATGGAGGCTTAGGTCTTCCAATGTGTGACCAAGCTACCAGAGTTATTCTATCAGTCTGTCTAGCCCAACAGTCTTTTCTATGTGATGATCTGCTTGGGGAGCAGTTTCACTGCAGGGGAAGCCAAATAACTTAAATAACTGATCTAAAAACCCAGCAGTATTGCAGGTCTGACTCTGGACTCACTGGAGGCAGTGACAAAGAAGAAGATGAGAGCAAACCTGGAGAACATTTTAAATAATTCTGCTTATCCACTTCATAGTGTGACAGTCAAAAGCACCGACGAACCTCCAGCACATTCCACCAAGGTGCTGTAGGAGGCGCTTTTGGGGATCTTTTCTACTGCCTGCCTTCAAACTACACAATGCAGTGTAGCACCTCAACACCAGTCTGTCAGAAAAAAAACATATTTTCCATACAAATAAACAACATACCACAGACACACGTTCTATAATCTAAGATGCTCACTCTAATTATTGCAAAGAAGTGTCTGGTGAGCCTTGACAGTATTTCATCATAGTAATGTGCTGCCCTCATGTACCCTCACTAGTACATTCCCATTACAGTTTATTGACACCACAATAATGAAATGAAATGTGTCAAGAGATAACCTGCAATCTTGAGATGTTTATTTTGGTGTGATTTCTTTGGATAAACCAGGTTTGTAACTCAGCTGCATATTACATTCTATATTTATACCCGTGATGTGAGTGGTTGGGGCCAAGTTCAACTTCCTTTTATAGCAGCCAATCAGCTTTCAGCACAGAATTATAAAGCTGCTCTTGTACAAGTTTAAGTGTAGAGTGTAGAGATGCCCACGTCTTGTCTACGACTTAAAAGATTACTCCTGTCCTACAAACACTGTAAGTAACCACGTAACATAAGCCTAAAATAAAATGAATACATAACTGAATACTAATACTATTCTTTTTTTCTATTTTTCTTCAGGAGAGTTTAGCAATGATTTCATTGTATGTAATGGTTTTGCTCTCATCAGCAGTAGGTACTGTTTAAGTGTTGCTTTTTCTTTGCTTTTCAACATTAATGACGTTAATTTGTGTACTATGTACTGAAAGCACATGGATTCAGTAGTATTTAATGTACAGCTTTTTAGTGAATTTAAAATAGTTTTAAAAGATTTTCACTGTTGTTTTTTCAGGTAGCCCTTCAAAGATTGACATTCCCTGTTTAGGTGGGATGAGGTTCATTCAGAGCGGGCAAAGCATCACTCTGAATTGTCCTTCTCTCACTTTTAATGCAATAACAACTACATGGTTCAAACAGACTCCAGGAGAAAAGCTTCTTCTCATTGCTTCTGCTGTTCGTTCAACTACAGTTAAATATCACAATGGTTTTGACAAGAGTGGCCGCTTTAATGCATCGAGGGAACAAAGCAGTTTTACTCTGAGTATCTCAAATGCAGAACCATCTGATTCAGCTACATATTACTGTGCAGGTGCAGATTATTCAGATGCTGCATTATTAGACTGCACAGTTTTAGTTCTCAAAGGTAGGTGTTAGTCTACTACAGTCTGCTACAAATCCTTCTACATTGTTAACCTGAAATCTACATCTGCATCTCAATCAAAATTCACCTTTTTTCTCTCTTTAGATTCACCTTCAAGTCTCTCTGCTGTTCTCCAGCCTCCTGTATCAGATCCTGTTGAACTGGGAGGAGATACAACTTTGCAGTGTTCAATACTCACAGATACGTCTGCAGGAGAACACAGTGTGTACTGGTTCAGACATGGATCAGGAGAATCTCATCCAGGAATCATTTACACTCATGGAAACAGGAGTGATGAGTGTAAGAAAAGCTCTGAGACTGATTCTCCTACACAGAGCTGTGTCTACAAACTCCCCAAGAGAAACCTCAGCCTCTCTGATGCTGGAACTTACTACTGTGCTGTGCTCATGTGTGGAGAGATCATCTTTGGGAACGGAACTAAACTGGACTTTGTAGGTGAGAACAGATATTTACAATCCATTTTAATAGTCTCAAGCCAAATCCAGAGAAAATGATATCATTATGATATATACATATTATATAATTATATCAGAATATCTGCAATGCAGTAATAATGTAATGTACAAAGATATATGATGTAAATGACTAATAATATGAATATGTGATGTTTGAATTACATTAATCAGAAATTATGATTCAATTATCAAAATTTTTCCTGTTTATTGTAGAGAAAGGTGTTTTGGATCCAGCAATTCTTGGTTTAGCAGCATCAAACATCATATTCATGGCTGTGGTTTTATTTTTGTGCAGAAAATTACACAACAGTCACTATAAAGGTATGTTTTATGCATATGAGGCTGTGATTTGATTGTTTAGTTCTTATTACTGTTTAATGTAATTTTCACATTTTTTCTACATATTTTTTTTAGTATGTTTAAATTATTTACTTATTTTATGTTGAAGGTGTTGCTGAAGGTCACATAGTACAAGTAAATCAGGTGATTATTTTATTTACTTCTATCTTTTTTTTTTACACTCAAAATACAAAAACTTTGTAATTTTATTGTGGGTTCCAAATGTAAAATATGTCACTATAAATCAACATTGGATTGTCTGGTGAATATCCAGTAAGATTTATTTTGTTTGTGAATTTAGAATGTACAATTATTTGTAAAGGTTTGAATACCTCTAAAAATTATGTTTTGTTGATTTATGTAAGTTAATACATCCTGTACAGAGAAAATACACAATATGTTACATTCAGCCAATAAATAGTAGTTCTGTATTAAAATGTGCAGAAGTCTGTCCTCTGTAGAAGATGTGGTAACATATTTTCAAATAGAAAATCAACAAAAGATGTGACCAGAAGCGCCCAAACGTTGTCTTATGAGTGTGCATGAATTATTATAAATTAGTAGTGTCAAATGTATCATGTTATTAACGTGATAAATTAACATCACTATGTCTTTTAACACCTTCAAATCATCCATATAATGATCCAGCCTAAGTTGAGCTGCTCATGTACTGTAACTTGCCATGATTGAGTCCTTGACCGCAGCCCTCTACTTTCACTGAAAAGCTATTAAATAGCGAATTCTAGTGATGGCTGTTTTGATAAAACCAAAGTGTTTTCTATCTATTATCATGCCGTAAATTTGTGTTTATCACTTAAGTTCATTGAGTTTGAAGCATCATCACAAGCAAAACCTGCTAGTGCAGCAGTATCTGTAAGATCATTAACATTATCACCAAAGGACATATTCAGCAGACTAACACTGGACTTTGCTCACTGAAAAGCTGTAGATAAATCAACCAATAGCAAAATAACAAAAGCAATAGCAAAGTGGAAAGCAGATTAGGGTCAGGGTAAGGCTGAAAGTATTAAATACATTCCGATGATGCTTATTTTATAATTACATATAGATATAAAAAAAAAGCACTGGGTTTTACATGGAGTAAAGACTCTCTATGAGAAAATGTCAGCATTTACAACAAAAGTGACTGATTGTAATAAACATATAGTAATGTGTTTAATTGCAATTAATTATTTTAATCATTTTATGGCCCCAATGTTCATATTAAATGTAGTACTGATTATAAAGTGTACATCTAAACTTTAAACTTACTATTGCCTTTGTGTTTATCAGTCATTCTAATTAAAAATATTGGAGCTTGGTTTATCACACATTCTGAAATGTCATGTTATTCTCTATGTATAATATATTTGATTGTGTGGTCTATCAGGCTGAAGATACTGACGTCTTGAACTATGCAGCTCTAAGCTTTGCTCAGTCTTCCTCCTCAAGAAGAAGCAGAACAAAGAACAGCAGTGATCAGCCTGTGTACGCACAGGTAAAGACCCATCAGTAGAAACAACATCAGAGTTACAATCAAACCTGGAAACCTACTGTCATCATAACTACTAAACTGTGCTCATTTCACAAATGTTACATAATGTCATGATTTATAGAAGTTCCTGTATTTCTGTATGTGTCGGTTTTCCCATGTGATAACTACATTTAGTTTCATTTTGCTATAATAACAATATATATATGTATATATATATATATATATATATATATATATATATATATATATACATACATATAGTTGTTGTTTGTATCTATGTGAATAGTTGAATATTAAAATTTGCTGATTTCACAAATACTTTACCATTAAAAAAATGTGGTCATTTGTGTATTTATTCATTCATTTCCTGTAAACTATGACACATTATTTTATAGCTTTTTGGCTTCAACTACTAAGGATTTCTATTATTAAATTCATGCAAAATGATGAACTTCTACTCCAGTTAGATTTTTAGTGATGAATATTTAGAGTTTATGCCTCGTGGTTGGGGAAATCATGCTAAATGTAACTGGAGTTTAACTGTTGGTGTGTAAGAGCAGAGAAATAAAGATTTCACCCTCAGTTCCCCACCTCTGATTTAAGCCCATCTGAACAGTGTTGTTGTGCACTAATATCAATGAAACACATCTATGGGCCATCCACTGATGAAACATATTGGGGTTCAAGCATAAGAGACTTCATTACTGGGGTGAGAATGTCAGAAAAAGTTGGTCACAAAGGCTGCCTGCTGAAGTGGCTTTCGTGTCTAAAGTGACCTCTGCATGTAGATCTGTAGGAAAAACATCAGTAAACAGGAAATTGTGGTATGAAAGTGCACTTCACTGTCTGTGATGCTTCTGCATTAGTGCCATATGTAAGTAAAAGCAGAAAAGCAACTGTTCCTCAGGCGACTGAGAATGTCAGTGACGGATGTCAGCACGTCTCCCCACAACTGCAAAGGTCACTGGTCATGGATTAGCCCCTGCCCTGCACATTTTAGTGTTCCTCCTGCTCCCAGCACACCTGTTGAGAGGGTCCCGTGGCTCTATTATGATGTAAGAAGCATTTCGCTGGAATAGATTGGGTCGATTTGTCCCCTTACCGACCAGGGTCACTGCAAATCAATACAAATTATGATCAGACATTCTGTATGATCATCTTTATCTTATGACAAAGACTTCTACCCTGATAGGAGTGATATCTTCCAGGATGACAATGCCCCTTCCCACAGGGAACAAGGCATCACAGAATGGTTTGATGAGTATGAAAATGATGTAAATCATATGCTATGGCCTTCACAGTCACCAGATCTCAACCCAGTTGAACATCTATAGGAGATTTTGGATTGACAAATTAGACAGCATTCTCACCATCACCATCATCAAAACAACAATTAAGGGAATGTCTTTTGGAATAACAGTGCTGCATACTTCTAGTATAGTTCCAGAGACTTGTAGAATCTCTGCCAAGGCACAATGAAGCAATTTGTGTTGGCCTAACATCTTACAAAAACACTCGGTTACTCTTATTTTTCTTTAAGTTGTCACCTTTCTGTATGTAACATAATCCAATAAGCTGCTTTTTTCATACATGTGACGTAGGTGTACTTTGTGTATCCAATAGCCTTTCTTATTCTAGGCTTTTATTTTCTGTTGGCACTGTTGTTCCTGTTATTGACACATATATGTACATGTATATGTATTGTGGAATGTGCCAGAAGAATTCAGATGCTTGCAGTTAAAAGGAGAAAAAGAGGCTTTACTGTTAAAATAAATATCAGCTTCATGGTCAATAAACAGGTGTGGGTCAAATCCAAAAAAGACAGCCAACACAAAAAGACAAACATAACAGAAGGCAAAACAGTCCACAAAGGGTCAGGCAAAAGGCAGAGTCGATAAACAGGCAAACATGGTCATACACAGGAATAATAATAAACACAATAGAACACTCAGTAGATCTAGATAGATGCAATACCTCACAACTAGTCTATGCTAAAGCCTGAGCTTATATATTAAACTACTATGGTCACATGACAACAGGACAGGTGAACAGAGTTAGTATTCTGGTGACTGGGAGTGCTGGCTGGAGCACGAGGAAAGGTCAGGAGTCATGTGAGGTATATAGGAAGAAACCTTGAGAGGAACCAAGACTCTAAAGGGGAGCCCATCCTACTCGGGTTGACACAAGATGGCAAAACAACAACATAAGAGCAATATGAGCATATTTCCACATTTTACCATGACATAAAATATTAAAATAGAGAAAACTAAAAAACAAAACAAAATAATAAAACAAAAAAAATGTACAGAAGTATTTAGATTAAGCAATGATAACTTATGACTATGGTTAGAGGCCTATCAGAGTAACTATGAGAAACAGATCTGTAAAAATCAGCCACTGTTACCAGTAAAAAACAGTAATTACTGATAGAATCATAGCACATAGATTCATGAACATCAGTGACACTGTCACAAGCCTGTAATGATGGTCTGTTAGTATGGATATGAGAAGTGCTCAGAGTAATGTGAGGAAAGTAAAACAATGGCTATGATTAAATACTTCGAGTCTGTGCATGCAGCAGTAT